CATCCACTCAACCAGCAGAAGCCCAACGTGGCAAGTTTTGCGAGCGGCGAATGGTGCTCGAGGAGGCAGACCTGCCTCCATCAGCACAGGTGGCAGCCTTCTTGGGCTCGAGGGGCTTGGAAGCATGCTCGGTTTGGGCGAGAGAGGCGTCCGTCCGCATCAGGTAGAAGTCATTCTGGATGGTCGTAGCGTCATATACCACGTCTACAAGCGTCCTTACGTGGACTACTTTCTACGCAAGGTGGGTTCTTCGTGCGCGACGTGGCTCGTGACGCCCTCGAAACGAGACTTACTTTATAATTGGCTGGAACAGGTCGCGTCATGGTATCACGTAGTCATTTTCACAGCATCTGTTCAAGAGTATGCAGATCCAGTCATCGATTGGCTGGATCAAGGTCGAGGTTTGGTAAGCCAAAGGCTATTCAGAGAAGCCTGCACTTTCAGAAACGGCAGCTATCTCAAAGATCTCAGCATTGTCGACTCGGATCTCTCGCGCGTGTGTTTGGTAGACAACAGTCCGGCAAGCTATCTGATCAACCCAGCAAACGGCATTCCCATCGAAGGCTGGACGAATGATCCTAATGACGAATGCCTCCTTGACCTCCTGCCGCTCTTGGACGCCCTCCGGTTTGCTTCTGACGTACGCAATGTCTTGTCCATTAGAGGCTTCTGAAAGCCGGTGAACGTACGCGACCAGCGCAAATGCGGGCCTAGCACTGGAGTGACAACGCCTTTCTACCTTGCATCAAGCGCTTCACATCCGTTAGTACGTGCATCCTTCCCCGCTCTTTCCACGCAAACAGCCCAGCATTCACAGCACGTGCACGCTACTGCGCGTGACTGACCAACATACACATCGCAATGAAAACAATCGTATCTTTAGAGAATCGATCGATTTTTGTTAGCTGTGCTTGAGCGTGTGCATGAGTGGTAACGAAGCGTACAGAGTACCAGCTTGGATTTGCGGGCTTGATTCAGGGCGGGACTTGGTTGGGTGCGAGGAGCACCTGAGTTGCGAGCGCAACAGGTGAAAGGCTGGCCGAGAAGGTCGAGGGGAAGACGAAGAGTCCTCTCTGTTTACTTGGCAATGATGCCGTCGAATCGCTGACGGAACCAAGCAGCAGTCTCCTCCTTGGTGACACGGTGAGGAGCGCCAATGCGATGGGTGCGCTCCTTTCGACGTGCAACACGAGCACCAGGACGAGTCATGCAAACGTAGAAGTCGGCGCCAAAGATACCAATGGAAGGATCGTACTGTGGGCATGCCACGAGCGGCTTTAGCCAAAGCTCCCCCAAGCTTTCCGCTGAACACGAACTCGAGCGCTCCGACGCCAGACTCACCTTGATACCCAAGTCGATGTGCTCTGTGATACCGAAGCCGAAGTTGCCTGTCTCGGAGAAGTTCTGCGTGGGATTCCGATCAGACGTCGAGTGAGCCAGATCCAGCACGTCTCGTTGGTGGCTGGCGCACTGCTCCTAGGCGATGATACTCACCCTGCGGCGTAGCTCGTACTCCTTGACCTTCAGCGCACGCTCAATAATTTCCTCTGCCTTGGGTCCACGAATTGTGACATGGCAAGCGATCTTTTCGTTACGACGGATACCGAAACCACGCAGAGTGTAACGCGCTTTGGAGGTAACGGGAGTCTGACCGGTGAGCTGTTCCAAGACCTTGCATGCACGGGTGAGCCTGTCACCAGACTCCCCCACGGAGATGTTGACCACCAGCTTGTCCACCTTAATCTCCTGTTTAGGTGTCAAGCGAAACGTGAAAATTCAGCGACTTGCCAGTGCATTATTACTCGCGTCTCGGTAGCGTTTGCCCCCTTGCCCCTGCTATTCCCAAGCACTCCGAATGCCCATTCAACCGACGCCCTTTTCACCCTTGTGCGAACGATCGTCCAGGCCGTTCATTCCACATTCAATCTAGCCGCCTGACCCGACCAGATCTTTTCGCAGCTCCAGCCCCCACCATCATCCCATCTGCCGCTCATCTACCAAAGAGCATGGCCGATAATGACTTCCGTCGATGTCTGCCCAGTCCACCATCGCCCTAGATACCTCACTTCCGCGACCAAGTATAATCCAAGTATCTTGGGCTGCGCTACTCACCCTCATGGGGTTGCTAATAGCGACAGGGAACAGGACGCAGCGTTAGCGGTAGGTCTTGATGAGAACAAAAAGCGAGCGCGCTTAAGCGCTTGCTGATGCCCAACTCACATTGCCTTTCCTTCGGTAGCCATCTTGAAGAAATTTTTGAATGCTTTGCCGTAGGGAGTATGTTGTGGTTCGGGGCGAGAACGGTCGTCGTTTCTTGCAAGTCGGTGGATAGATGGCTGTAGGCCACAGCTTTGGACGGTGCTCGAACGGCGTCACAGACCGCCACGAGTCTCGGCCGAAGAACTTGTACCTGACGCTCTGGAATTTTCCTTGCAGCTGCGGCGTGAGGCGCACCACTCGCCACTACTCCTACGCGCGAGGCGGCATCTATTCTGGTCACGTGTCTCTATCACGTGATCTAACACCTCCATCGGAAAGGTGATCGCGACCGCAATCGTTCATTGATTGAACGGTGTGGCATCGTATACAGACAAACAAGGGGAGTGGAAAGTCCAAGTTCGATCCGATGTGCAGGATGAGTTGCAAGACATTTTGTCGAGGGGCCCGTGCGGGTTCAGGACCCCATCTCGCGGAGCGACGATTGCAAGACGTGCCAGTGCGTTTGATTCGTGAATATGCTCAATCGTCAACGCGGGGAAGGCGTAATAGTAATCGCTCCCGCCAACAAGGTGCGCATCCCATGCACCTTGAACACTGGAGGCCTCACTTATAACTTGGTCCGATATGAGCACCTCGTGCGGTCTTGCACGATCGTGCCAGTGACGTCTCACAAAGAGCGACGGCGAGGACTGAGGCGCTGTAACGTTAGTCGTACGTCGACCCCGTGCCTACATCAGTCCATCGGGATACCTCTCCCAACGGTGCACGGTCACAGCGCTCTCGTATCATGCGCAGAGCAGTGGGATGTCAACGCGCCACCACACCATTTCACAATTAGCGCCTCGCTGCCCAAGGCTTCCAATGAAGCTGCTATAGTGGGATTTTCGTCAACCTCAACGACGGCCAGAGACGTGGACACAAGAAGCAGGCGATTGTTTTTGCGCAAAGCATCTATTCATATTCGGAACAACCACCGACTATTTTGTTCCGCAGCATGCACCACTTCCTCCAAGGTCTTACCTAGCACGGCCGCTACCACCGCGGCGATGCCTCCGATACCACAAGGCTCATTCCTCGACTTGACCGCTTTCGCCGCGTCCCACTTCTCCTTCTTAGCTGAGGCGGGATAGTATAGCTCCGCCAAGTCGGGATGCCTCTTCTTGAATGCATCGATGTGTTTGGCTGATGCGTGAGTAGCTCTCGGCTCGCACCAGGGCGCATCTGAAACGATGTGGCAATGGCCGTCAGAATGCGGACCGCGCTAGACTTTTTCGGCGTACAAAGCTCACCAGTTTCGAGCAGCAAGCGCTCTAGAGGGACAGCTTTGAGCGCGTCAAGGTTCTCCTGAGTCTTCATGCCGCATCCATTGATGCTCAAAAAAAAGCCAGCATCCAGATAGTCTTGCGCTTCCTGCGCCGAACCAGTAAAGGAGTGGACGACTCCCCACCTTTGCTTATTCGAAGCCTTGTCTGCGAAGCGAGACTGTCGCATGTATTCCAAGTGGGGCTTTATGATCGCCATAAAATCGTCATGCGCTGCACGAGAATGAAGAAAGAGTGGCAGACCGAACCTCTTTTGGAGATCGAGCTGCATTGCGAACCTTTTGCGCTGTTCTTCTGCGCCAGTGAAGTGCAGCCTGTCGTAGTCTAGAATGGCATATTGCGATCCGATGGAGGGCTTCAGTTTAGCCCAGCTCTGTGCGTGCAGCTTCAGACGCCCTCACCTAGTCCGCACTCGCCGATAGCGACAATTTTCTTGGACGGCTGCGGGGTATCTTGCGGCGCAGAATGAGCTTCAAGAAGCTGCGTCAGCGCAGCTAGGTACCCATCTGGACCACCCTTGTGGTACTTTGAGAATTCGCTCGCTCTGGTGGGGTGACAGCCTGCCGTGCTATAAAGGTCCTCTGGCGGTGAGCGGAGCTGACCCAGTCAGCACAAAACGCCGACACAGGGTGTGTTGCCATGATTTCCGCTCACGGTGCTTCTCCGCGAGATCCAGGGCATGTCGAGACTCGCTGAGGCTTCCGCCTGTCACGATCTGTGCAATCACTCCAGCCTTTCTTGCACGGCCCAAGACGCTATCGAGATCGGCTGGGCCAGTCGTGGAGACCGTCACAAAATGAGCCATGGGACGTCTGCAAGCGCGACTTGCCCTGCCATTGAGTCTATCATACTTACGGGAATGAGACTTGTGGCCATGATAACAGCCCGAGTACATGCCATCCGTCAAGTTCACACCGATGTCTGTGACACATGAATCCAAGGCACAGAGAAGGTCGTACGCCTTTTCAGCTCCCAGCCTCGTCACACGGGTATGAGAGAGAGGTAAACGACACTCTCATTGTCTCAGAACTCACCAATGAATTTCAAATTTGCTAGTTGCCGCTTCAAAGAGTCCTGCGCAGCAGCTTGTTGCTGCTTCTGCTCCTCCTCTGCAGAGGCTGCTGCGGCGACTCGTTTTGGGTTGAGCATGCTGTGTGGGTGTTTTTGGCTTTCGAGGTAGAAGGCTGATCTGGTAATCGAAAGAGAGGTACGCAGAGAGGTTCCTCGGGCCGAGGTACTAATGGGAAGAACGAATGACGTGGTGATGGTTATGTGCGAGCTTCGAGGAGCTCGAAGGGAAGGA